AGGGTCTCCCTGTAGCCCCAGCTGTCCTGGATCTCAGACCAGGCTGGCCTTGAACTCACAGAGATCCACCTGCCTCTGCCTCCTGAGTGCTGGGATTAAAGGCATGTGCCACCACGCCCGGCCCAGTCTTTTAATTTTTTACCACAATTTTGTGTGTGTATGTGTGTGTGGGTGGGTGCATGCATGCCATAGCATGCTTGTGAAGGTCAAAGGACAACTCCTATAAGTTCTCTCCTTCCACCATGTGGGACCCAGGGATTGACCTCAGATCATCAGGCTTAGTGATAAGTGCCTTTTGAGCCACCCTGCCAGGCTAACCAGACAGGCCTGGAACTCACAGATATCCTCCTGCCTCTGCCTCCCAAGAGCTGGGATGGGATTAAAGGTGAGCACCACCATGCCCGGCAGCTTTTACTTAATTTTTTAAGTTAGCGTACAAATAGGGAAACTAAGAGGCTCTTACCAGGTAAAAAGTGAAGTACTTGCTTAGATTTCAGAATGGTGCTAGACACTGGAATAGAGGATAAATCCCCTCCCTTTAGGATCTTACTATACCTGGTAAGTGTATCTATCTCATTTGACTGGACTCTCCTTGCAGCCTTGACACTGCAACTGTTTTTTGACACCCAGTGTTGCAGAGCAAAGGCTCTTCTGAGCCCTATAGGTGTGGCAGAAATATATCTGTGTGCAGAGGTTGGGAAGGGTGGATGTTGCCATACCCAGATCTCTGTCCCCACAGGGAGCTAGAGCTCACTGCAAGATGTCTGAAGGGTGTAGAACAAGAGAAAAAGGAACTGAGGCATTTCACAGAATCCTTGCAGCAGACACTGGAGGTGAGGGCCTGCTGGGGGATTGGCAGGAGGCAGGGTGGCTGGTTGGGCTATACAATACTGTGTTTTCTAGGGAAGGTATCTGTAAAGGGAATGAGGGACACTGATCTAAAGGACCTTCTCTGAGGATGGCTGGGAGCTCCAGCTGGCACATGAGGCCTAAAGCATGGACTGGTTCTTTCCAGACTTGGAGCAAAATTTCCGCCTTGCCCTTATAATGACCATGGCCTCAGGAAGCCTGCTTTCTGTGGTGCCTGTATTTTGATACCACAGGGAGGATTGATCAGGGTGGGTGGTGGAGTCACCTACCACATCCTTCTGTGGTTCCTTCACTTAGTGCTTCTGGGTGAAATTGAGCATGAAGGGAAATCAACTGCATGGTCACCTTCCTCTGATACCACAAGAGACTGAGACAGGGAGAGGCAAGAAGCATGTGTCAAGGACAGAGTACACACTATGGCCCCAGCCTTCCTGCCCGCGATTCCCCTCCATACCTTGCACAAAGATACCTCAGCCCCCGCTCCAACCACTGAGCTCATGTTCCCAAGGAAAACACACTCTTTGATCCCCTACAGTTCTCCCCATACTGTTCCTTTTTGCTTCTCTGCCTGGAGAACTCCTATTCATCCTTCTAAGACTCAGCTCAAATATCTCCTTAGTCAAGTTTCCTTAAGTCTTTTTGTTTTGTTTTGTTTGTTTTATTTTTGTTTTGACAGTTTCTCCCTAGTCCCAGCCCACTTAGAACTCACTATGTGGACTAGGCTGGCCTCCATCTTACAGAGATCCATCTGCTTGCCTCTGCCTTCTGAGGGTTGGGATTAAAAGAGCACACTCCACATGCCCAGCATTCCTTAAGTCTTTTTAGATAGGTATTTGCTTTGAGCTCTGAGCTCTCATGCATTTTGCATGACTGTTATGAGATTAATACTCTAGATTGTTTTTTTCTAAACTGTGGACTTGACCATGTCTCAATAGTTTCTCCAAGCTGAGTACCTGAAGTGAGCCCAGTGCACGGTGTGTGATCCATAGATCTTTGCTGAATCCATGATTGCCATGAAGGGTATAAGAGTGTCTAGCCTCCCTTGACTGAGTGGAGCTTTGTCTATGGTGCCTATGTTTGTTTATCTTTCTCTGATTCATGCTGAGTCATGTCCTGGGGAGTGGTATCATGGATATTTTCAACCCCAGAATTTCAGTGTAGTGTTAAGATCCTAGCTGATAAACACAGAGAACATCTAAATCTGCTTTTGGACTGGTCCTGTTGGGCATTTTCATATGAGCCCGATACATGCCCTCCTTTATCCTAGAGGAACAAGGACCCCAAAATGTCATGGTGCCCTTGGGCCTTGGGACTTAGTTCTGGTAAATGCCGTCTCCACTAGAAATCACATTGGGCTTCTCCTTGACATTCTTAATTGAGGAGCAACCTTCCTTTGTTGTGAGATCTTGGAATGAGACATTGATGGTGTCCTTTGTGTAAGATTGAGGAAGGAGTAGATCACTCTCTGGAACTATAAGGCAGGCTGGGGAAGCTATGCTGGACCACCATCCATGCTCTTTCTCATCTCCCCTACCTTTATGCCAGGAACTCTCCATAGAGAAGAAGAAAACCCTAGAGATGCTGGAGGAAGATAAGAACCAGTCACAGTCACTGGCCAATCAGAGCAAGCAGCCACCTGCCAGTGATGATCTCCATAGTAACCTGAGGCAGATAGAGGAGCGAATGCAGCAGCTTTTGGCAGAGAAACTCCTGGCAGAGAAGCGGTGAGGCACCTAAGACCACTGGGACTTGCAGTAGCTTGACAGCTGCTAATTCCTCTCAAGCTGGACAGCTGGAATCAGGTTCTAGCTGACACTGACCAATGGGTCACTCACTTCCTTTTTACCTAGGACCTGTCTACCCCAGGAGGCAAATGAAAAGAGCACCTTTGAGCCCCAAAGCTGGGCAGTTTCCCTTAGCTCCCTTCTACCCATAAAGAAACAGCTTCAGTGGGGTCATAGGACATCTCTGAGGTCACAGAAGTGGCAAACCCTGGACGTCTAAGCCTGGGGCTCCTATCACTGGCCACACCATCCTGGATCTTATCACTTGACTAGCTGAACCCAGAAAGTTCTGGGAACTCAGCCTTTTCTCTAGCCATGTTTCTGGCAGGGGCAGCCCCTTTTGTAGGTGGCCATCCGGTAAACATCTCTCCTGCTGGCAGGATGAAGGAGAATGAGGAGCGCTCACGGGCCCTGGAGGAGGAGCGGGAGTTCTACTCAAGCCAGTCCCAAGCCCTACAGAACTCTCTGCAGGAGCTGACGGCAGAGAAGCAGCAGGCTGAGCAGGAGCTCAAGGTGCTCCTACGTGCATGGGCTTCATGTTCAGGGCCCTTCCCTGCTTCTGGAGGCTCCTACCCATCCCTGCATTTTACAGCCAGATATACTACTACTCTCTGCCAGTATGACTAACTGGCCAGGTTCAGGGCATGGATTTCCCACAGTCTGTTCTATCACTGAAAAACACGTGCTGGGAACAGGGCTGAACCCAGCCTGTGAGTCATGGGTAAAGCATGGAAGCGGATGTGGAAACTTCCATCCAAGCTCAATGAGCCCAGGGTGATGAGAAAAAGGTATACTAGCTACTTTCCTCAGTGCTGTGATAAAGTACCTGACAAAAGCAACTTAAGGAAGGGAGGGTTTGCTTTGGCTCATGGCTTGAGGAGGATATAGTCCATCGTGGCAGGGAAATCGTGGTGGTGGGAAGTGTGAGCAGCTGGTGACATTGTATCTATAGTCAGGAAGCAGAGATACATGCTGGTGCTGCTCAGACTTTCTCCTTTCTATTCAGTCGGGGACCCCAGATCATGGGACAGCACCACCCACATTCAGAGTGTATCTTCTCTCCTCAGTTACTTCTGGAAATGTCCTCACAGACACACATAGAGGTGTGTCTTGTAGGTGATTCTAAATCCAGTCAAGTTAGCAGTGAAAATTAACCATTACAGAAGGCTTCTGGGGAGATGGCAACTGTTCCCTGGACTCAACTTCTCTCTTGCTTGTTCCTCATGGAGGCTGAAGTGAAGGTGCGTATGGACCTGGAGAGGCGACTGCGGGAGGCAGAGGCTGCCTTGCGGAGCCTGGAACAAGGGCTTAACTCCAAAGTGCGGAATAAGGAGAAAGAAGAGAGGATGCGGGCTGATGTGAGCCACCTGAAAAGTAAGCCCTCCCTCCAGGGCCCAACTCCAACCCAGAGCTCAGCTCCATAAGCACAGGAGCCTGGAACAAGGCTTGGCATTCATGAGGTGGCTCTTGCTGGAATTTCTTCCCTAGATGCCTGCCTGTAGGCACCCCCTTGGTACTACTTCTTTGTGGCAGTTGGACCTAGGGTGAGGATATGGGGTAAGCCTAGAGTTTCTTCCCCTTCTCAAAAGCTCAGAGCTCTGTCTCAGCAGATCTTTCCTGTAACAACTTCAGATTGTGGTTTGGGGGACAGACAATGCCCACCTAAACAGGTGGCTGTGATCTCTAAAGGATGGGACCAACATATTTTCCATCAGACCCCACCAGTATCTTTAGGAGGGGAAGGGTGCTGTCAACTGCCCCTTTGGGCCTTGCTACAACAGGGTTCTTTGAAGAATGCATCAGGAATGCAGAGCTGGAGGCCAAGATGCCAGTCATCATGAAGAACTCCGTGTACATTCACAAGGCAGCCACTCGTCGCATCAAGAGCTGCCGTTTCCACCGTCGCAGGTCCAGCACTTCCTGGAATGACAGTAAGTGTCCGTATGCCTTTATAAGCACCAATGGCACAGGTTGCTGGTGACAAGAGGAGAAGAGGGTGGTTTGGAGAACAAGTGGGTGAGGCTGGACAGTGTGTCCTTGAATCTGGCTCTATCAGCCTTGGTGAAACGTCAGACCTTGAGTTTCTTAAAGCATTCTGGAAGCCCACAGGCTAGGACAGGTTGGATGAAGTTCAGTAGGATGTATAGCTGGCATGAGGGAGGCAGGGCGGGCTCAGGACAAGGGAGTACTATTCATGGGGGATTTGATCCCTGTGTCCCCAGTGAAGCCATCCCAGTCCTTCATGACGTCCCAGCTAGAAGCCAACAACATAGAGGAGCTGAAGGAGGTGGCCAAGCGGCTCAGCAGAGACCAGCGCTTCCGGGAATCCATCTATCACATCATGGCCACCCAGCCTGGGACTTCCTCTGCACTTCCCTGGGGTGGGAAGTGATGGGTGCTCCTCCTCTGCCTCCCATCTTTCCTTGGTGAGGCAGCACAGGGAGGCCTGACTCTCCCTGGGTCCTTTCCATCAGAGCAACATCTTGGGGAGGGTCACCTTCACTCTCAAGGGACAAGGGTGACACCTCCCTCAGCCACACCTTGAGCCTTGATCTTGGGTCTACACTAGGTGGTGTGGGTCCATGCTGGCTGCTACCTGGTTGTCATGGTGAGGTGAGGATGAGGCCTGACTGTGTGTGATGTCTGTTGGTCAGGGAGTTGGGTAGAGAGAGGCTATCTACTCCGTGTGGGCAGGCCCACTGGCTGAAGACCAAAAAGCCTCTCTGGTACCCATCATACCTCTCTGTGACTCCGCTGCTGTACCCCTGGTCACATGACACCCCTAACCTTCTGTTTGCTTCTGGACACTCATATACAACCTTTCCCCAGGCCCCTGATGAATTCCATATCCTGGGGGAAGGAGGAGAGGGCTTTAGGACAACTGCCCTAGGCTCACAGCATTCCCCACGATCTCTACAGTATCCCATTTCCAGGGGGTTGCCTTGACTACGCAGGCCTCCCTTCCTCTTCAGGCAGGCTCACCCACAGTAACTTCAGTATTCTGGTAGAAGAAATGGAGAGGGTTATGATCCCACTGTGTCCTCCCCAGCCTTGACTGGGAGCTGGGGCCAGCAGCAACCCTGCAGACTCTCCCAAATGCATACAGCCAGCTCAGGAGTGAGAAGGTGGCCCACACTCCTGTATTATCCACAGTCGGGCAGAGCTGCTTTGACCCTCCTGGTCACAAGATCACAGAGGTCTGTCTCCCTCCCAGCTTGGTCTCTCTGCTGCCTCCTCTCTCAGCACAGGTCTCCTCAGTGAACCAATGCAACCATGAACCCCACACATGGGAATGTGGGCTTGTGGGGAGCCAGTAGCCATTGGTTGGTTCAATGCCATTAGCGGTGACACCATAACACCAGCCTATAGATATTGTGGAAGACTACTACTACCCTTCAGGAAGCTAAGAATTGTGAACCATGTCCCTTACCTGTGACAATCTCCTGGGCCCACCATTCAAGGAGGCCTGAGTCTGTCAGTCTTTTCTGAAGAGGGGACTGGGTGTTGTGACATTGGTGGGACTAAGAATTCCATTCTCTGCTGTTCAGAAACTCAAGTGTTCTGAGGGAGGGACACATAGCTGCAGGGCAAGTCACAGCAGAAGCAACCCAGGGATCCTAGGGGAGAATCTTTGCCAAGGCCAGCTGGGCCACCCTGCTCTTAGTGGGTCCTTATTGGTGGGAGATGAGGGGTCTGATGGCTTAGGATAGTCTAGAATCTGTGTGGTCTCAGGTAGAAACCATGCATTTGAGTATAAATGTAAAAGCTTTAGATGTGTATAAACCTGCATAAACCTGGAGCTTGTTTATCTAACATGTATGTGGAATGAACTTTGAAATGAGGAAGATTTATAAAACAGATTACTGGTTTTGTTTGTTTTTAAAGACTTAATGGCTTGCTCTTGGAGAAAGGCCTTTTGGAAATTTTCAAATTCATTTATTTTGGGGGGCAAGTTATTAACC